TACATACATACACATATATATATACATACATACACACACACACACACACACACACACACTTTGTGGTTGTAGAGCTTGCTGAAGGGGAGTAGTGATGTCTCTGTGAGGCACGCCAGAAAGAAAGCCGGTGTTACTGTGGGGAAAGGGACTGGTAAAGGACACACAGAGACGCAGAAGTGGGTAAAACAAAAAAATGTTTACTTTGCTAGCAAAGGGTCAGCCTGCACCAAGGGCTGTGCCAAATGACCCCCTGGGCTGCGTTACAGTCTATCTTTTAGAGGAGTTTTACAATCATGACCTCATTTTTGGTAGTTCGATAAGACGTTCCAGTTCCCACAGTTCCATCACAAACCGTGATCACCAGACAGTTCAGTGTTAACCCAAATGCAGCATTCTCTTTCAGGATGTTCATCCTTAGCCATTCCAGCCCACAAGAGTGGGGGTCAAGGTTAGGAGAGCAGGACTGGCGACACTCCTTTTATCTTAACTCCTTTATAGTCACATGATTTACAGAAGGGCTTAGGGCCTGGCGACTGTCATCTTAGCTGGAACATCCAGTCTCATCCTGGGATGTGACGAAGCACCTCCAGCACCTGTTAATTTTAAACCGGGGCTACGTGCCTTTAAGGTTTAATGATGAAACCTATTGTATGTTGCGCAAAACAAGCAAGGCAAAGCAAATTACAGAAGCAAAAGACAGCCGTTATTTTATATTTCCTTAACATTTTGTAGGTTTCAGACTGTTTACAAAAGTTCTGTCATTATGATTAGAAATTATCAGTCCTTGTTTCTTTGTGTTTATGTTTTCAAAAGGATTACTTATAATTACTGCCTTCATTTCCCCAGTTCCTTACTCAAGAGACTGTTATCAGGATGATTAACCACGAGCATACTGCTGAAGTCAGTCTTTTGTCTGCTAAATTTTCAGCAGCTTTTAACCCAGCTGACCACTTCCCTCTTTTTTCTTTTTTCACTTTCCCTATTCTTGCATCTCACTTGGTCCCTAATTTGTGGCGTCCTCAGGAAACCTTAGGAGCAAACACAACAGTGTCTGCTTTCTTGTGTGTCTTCATCACTCTTTTCCCATCAGGGTACAGCTATACATCCTTGTTGTCCAGGGCCATAAAGTTCCAGGCTGCCTTAAATGACAGGGAGGTCTTTACATCTCAGACTTCATCTTAAAGCAGGAGTAACTGTGTCCCTCTGATTTCCACTGCTGTGACAAATTACATGAGATAATGAGCATGTGAAGAGTAAAGGTTGGTTTAAGTTTATGATTTCAAAGGTTTCAGTCCATGTTCCCGGGCCACCCTGCTTTGGGCCTACGGTGAGACAGCGCCACAGCAGGAGAGGGTGCTAGAGCAAAGCTGCTCCCCACATGGCAGCAAAAGGAGAAAGGGGCGGGGTGGGGACCCTCCCCCAAGTGCCACTCCTAAATGCTGCATCATCCCTTCCTCCCAATAGCTCCACCCACTGGGGACCAAATCTTCAAGACATGAGCCTTTTGGGGGCATGTAACTAATGACATAGCAGCATAGTTGTTGAAAGTGTGTTACTTTCCCTCCCCCAGCTCAGATAGCGCTGCCTCTACCCCTTGGGGTTTGATGAGTGAGTGGTGCTGATGTGAGCTGATGTGCACATCTTCTATCTCTCCTTCCCACTTCTGCTCGCTTTGGTATGTGTGAGTCAGAGGAAACACAGATCAGTCTTTGCCCAGGGGAACCTGCACCCATGCAGGAGAAAGGTTCTCCTTCCTCCTTACAGCGTCAGTGCAGGAGTAAGTGCTGTCACCTCCCTGTACCACACATGTGCACACAGCAGTTCATTGCCCTGAAGCAGGCCTCTCAGTAGAACTAGAGTCACAGCTTTTTCACTGGTCATTTATCTCCCTTTTTGCCCCTTTACAGTCCATTGCCTACACAGTAATGGGTGATATTATAAAACATAAAATAGAAAGCATCATAACCTCACAACTCTAATGGCTTTCAGTGGCAATTAGAACACCGTCTAAGCTGCATATATATATATATATAAAGAGAGAGAGAGAGAGAGAGAGAGCAAGAAGAATGAATATAACCACTCACAACTCAAGATCTCAGAATTACTAAAAGATACTGAATAAACAGACTTCAAATGGCATGAGTAGAAAAACAAATATCAGACTGCCGCAAACTAGTGTCATAAGAGGTCATGAGCAGTGGAGTCCAGGAAAAACTAGACTGTGGAAAAGAAGGGCTTGGGATGTTACTGGAAGGCCTCAGATTGATCAGAAAGAAAAAGTCAACTCTGTGAAAGTATTTTTTAAACCTCTTGGTAGAATGGACTTACAGTGTATGTGGGATGCAAAGAAGTAGTGCTAAAAAAATAACTTAAGACTAGAAGAGAGCTTAAAAGGAGAGAAATTTTTGAAAACCTTGTAGTTGGAAGGGAAAAACTGCAGGAGAAAATTTAGGATTGTATAAAACAAAGAAAAAATGTCAGGCATGGTGGTATACTACACATCTGCAATCCCAGCACTTGGGAGGCTAAGGCAGAGAGATCACTACGAATTCAAGGCCAGCCTGGCCACAAGTTCAAGGTCATTCTGAACTACATATCAAGACCCTATCTCAAAGGAAAAAAAATAACCCCAAAATGTTTAAACTGAAAAACATTCCTCCCATAGCACCTTTCTCCATAAAAAACGTTACACATTAAGATCACACTTGGTACAGAAAAGAATACTCTCAAAACAAAAAGTCATAAGCCACCCAATAGCCTTGCCTTGTCCACAAGAATCCTGAGGAGAGAAGACTCTGTCTCTATAACACCATTTTTTAAAAACTGAAGGGCTGGGGTGAAGCTAATTGATAGATTATGTGTTTAGCGTGAGTGAAGCCCTGGTTTCATCCCCGGCACCAAAATAATAAATAAAAATAAATCACATACATTGAGAGAAAATGATGAACCTACTCTCAGGAAAACTGTAGTGAGGGAGAAAAACTAATATAAATGTGTAATTTTGTTAAATATCCTCAAAAACCAGTTATACATGATAGGAAAATTACAAATCACAAGTAAAAAACTAAGAAAAATAACCAAGACACAAGAAAAGAAGTGATCGTTGATTAAACTCTAGAAATAAATGGAATGAAAATACTGTCATATCAGAAGTAAAGATTAAATGGTAACATATCTGAAGAATGCATTTGAATGAAAACTTAATGTAAAACATTTAAGAAAAGCAGGAGAGCAATTAAGATGATGAAAATGAAAGTCGGGCATGGTGGTACATGCCTGTAATCCCAGCACTCGGGGAGGCTGAGGCAGGAGGATTGCTGTGAGTTCGAGACCAGCCTGAGCTACATAATGAGTTCCAGGTCAGTCTCAACTACATAGTGAGACCCTGTCTCAAAAAACCAAATAAATAAATAAAAAGATGAAAATGATAAAGAAAGAAAATTAGGAAGAGGCAGACCTAAAAGACAAACAAATATTGAATGCATATAAGAGTGGAGACACTGAAGAAAAAAAGCAATGGAGCAGAATTTAAGTTGAAATCTGTAATTTAAGAAAACACTGTGAATGAATGAAGTCCTAATGTACAAATTGAAAGGGCTAACCAACTCCCAGAAAAATTAATCTGTAGTAATCAATTACAAGACATACCCTACTAAAATTATTAGACAGCAAAAGTAGAGAAAACATACTTAGGACTTCCAGGCAGAAAGATCAAACTACTTACAAGAGAAACAGGTTAACATTAAACTTCACTAGTTGTATAAGGATACAATGAGGAAAAAATGTAAATCCTTCTAAATAGTATATAATTGTTTAAAAGTAAACAAAGTTCTATCATTGTGTAATAAAATACACTTGAAAGAACACCAAAAGAAACATACAAAATAAAATGGCAAAGAAGAACTACAGACCAATCTCCTTAATGAATATAGATGCAAAAATCCTTAATAAGATACTAGCAAACAGAATACAGAGGATTATTAAGAAGATGATCCATCATGACCAAGTCGGATTTATTCCAGAGATGCAAGGGTGGTTCAACATACGAAAGTCAGTGAATGTAATACATTATATTAACAAAGTCAAGGACAAAAACCATATGATACTCTCAATAGATGCAAAAAAAGCATTTGATAAAATTCAACACCCATTCATGATAAAAACCCTGCAAAAAATTGGAATAGATGGTCTATACCTCAATTTAATAAAGGCTATTTATGAAAAACCATCAGCCAACATCATATTGAATGGCCAAAAACTGAAAACCTTCATGTTAAAATCAGGAACAAGACAAGGATGCCCACTATCGCCACTTCTCTTCAATATAGTTCTGGAAACATTAGCCA